GAGAAATCGAAATCGAAATCGACCGAAAAAAAATCACCGGCTCTGACCATGTTGAGCTGCAAATTTGCCAAACAACGATGATTTTTGGCAAACCCCCCACCGGTTTACGGGCTTCAACCAGTCCATTCTCCCATCCAAAAACTGAACAAGTGCTTGGTAACCCATGTTGAATGCCGTCCACCGATGCCGATTCCGATCTCCCACAACAATTTGACATCACTACCCTCTGGTAAATTTGTTACATAGCTATGGAAAATCACCATGCTATTAATGGGTAAATCAGCTATTTCTATGGCCATGTTCAATATAGTTTTTTGATGTTTTTTGTATGTTTACAGGAGGGTAGACCATGAAATGGTGGAGTCACCACTGGATCTTTGGAAACATGGAGAGATCATGGTCGAGACCAAAAATGTACCGTCGCATATCTTGGATCATCACCGTTGGTTCCTCCTGGCAGATCACCCAAAATTAGGAGATGTCCAATCCCATAGTATACCATCTGGTTATTTAACATAGCCATGGAAAATCACAATTTTTAATAGGTAAACCATCTATAAATGGGCCATTTTCCATGGCTATGTTAAATAAACCAGAGGGTAACTGCTTGGTGGTTGAGCCACCTACCCCGTCTGAAAAATGATGGAGTGAATGAAAGTCAGTTGGGATGATGACATTCCCAACTGAATGGAAAAGTAATCCAAATGTTCCAAACCACGAACCAGATAAGTATATCCCATTAAATCTCATCAAATCCCATAGGATCTCCCATGAAATTTTAGCCACTCTTCAACTAAACGATCTCACTTTCAAGTCCTGATTCAATCCTTAAAAAATACTAACAGATCGAAAAAAAAAATATCTGATAAAAACACGACGGTCAAGCTGGGGGTACCGTTCCAGCCCGTTCCAGTGGAGATCGAAATCACCATAGTTCTTGGGGCATATCCAGATGGGAGCTATGACGCTGGATACATCTATCATCAATAAGCGGAGTCCTGTACTCCGAAGTAACATCACACAAGTAATATCATCATTTATCTATTTAAAAAAAAAAAAACGTGATTTAACACGCAAAATAAGTATTATGTGTGTATATATATATATACATATATGAGTCGTGATTCTTATAGACGATATCCCATCTATATATATATATATATACACATATATTAATCCCATCTATCACGGAACATCACCATGGTATGAGAAAACACCACTGGGCATTCCGGCAATCGCCCGACTCATTCCGCCACGTCGTGGATCCTGAGGATTCATTGTAACCCGGAAGACCATTGGGGATATACGATGGGATTTCATGAGATCATGGGGATTTATGGGATGAGGCTAACGGATCAAAAATAAAGATCAAAAAAACAAAAGTACGATCGTAGTGAAAATAATCAAGAAACTGAGGAAAGGGAGGATTAAAAAAAAAAAACTTTACTTCGTGTGATCCCCACCATGACATTTATACAGTTTCTTACTGGCAAATCTTCTGGCATTCTATCTGACATATCTTCTGGCATTCTATCTGGCAAATCTTCTGGCATTCTATCTGGCATATCTTCTGGCATTCTATCTGACATATCTTCTGGCATTCTATCTGGCATATATTCTGACATATCTTCTGGCATTCTATCTGGCATTCTATCTGGCATATCTTCTGGCATATCTTCTGGCATTCTATCTGGCATTCTATCTGGCATATCTTCTGGCATATCTTCTGGCAAATCTTCTGGCATTCTATCTGGCATATCTTCTGGCATTCTATCTGACATATCTTCTGGCATTCTATCTGGCATATATTCTGACATATCTTCTGGCATTCTATCTGGCATTCTATCTGGCATATCTTCTGGCATATCTTCTGGCATTCTATCTGGCATATCTTCTGGCATTCTATCTGGCATATCTCCTGGCATATTATCTGGCAAATCATCTGGGATTCTATCTGGCATATCTTGTGGCATTCTATCTGACATTTTATCTGGCATTCTATCTGGCATACCTTCTGGCATTCTATTTGGCATATCTTCTGGCATATCTTCTGGCATTCTATCTGGCTGTTGGGGTCCAGCAGTGCACACTGAGCTGGGCAGGTCCCCGGTTGAGGTCCAACGGTGCACACTGAGCTGGACAGCTCGCAGGTTGAGGTCCAGCGGTGCACACTGAGCTGGGCAGCTCGCAGGTTGAGGTCCAGCGGTGCACACTGAGCTGGGCAGCTCGCAGGTTGACGTCCAGCAGTGCGCACTGAGCTGGGAAGTTGGCGAAGAGCTTGGCGACGAGTTGGCAAGGTTGGCAAAGAGGAAGTGGAGGTGGAAGAGGCGGAGGCGAGGAGGAGGGCGAGGAGGACAGCTAGTCGAGGAGGAGGCGGCGGAGGAGGAAGAGGCGGGCATGCGCTCGGATAAAATCTAACAACCCTCACCTGGCAGGTGGCGTGGGGAACAAATGAGGATCGCAGAAAGGAAAACGCTCTGTTGTCGTGCGCGTTTCGCGTGGGCTGGCTCACACGAAATTCGAAAGTTCCTCTGTGAACTGTCTACGTCCAAATCGACAGCGCAGGCTCGCGCAAAGTGCGTGGGCGACTTGCCTCTGTTACAGCGCGGCGCTCTCGCTCAGGCGCAGCTAATACTTTACGTGACAGGCGCCAGGGAAAGGGAACCTAAGTGCCTCCAAGGGCCGTATAGGAAGGTTCTGTAGCAGAGATCTTGCCCAGATGCCGTAGAGAGTCCCAAATATCCTAGACAAGGTCCTGCAGCAAAGATCTTTCTGAGGCCTTGTTGGGAGATTCCCTTTTCTCGTGCACAAGTCGCCTTAAAGAAATTTTGCCAATAGATCCGATAGGTAGCAGACATCTGTCCATGGGTTTTGTAGAAGAGCGACAGAAACACAAGAAAGAAAGACACGCTACAGGAGGAAATACATCTGGAAGATTTTGACAGTAAGACAAAAGAAAGCAGCAAAATACACCTTCGTAAAATTAAAGTTGGCCGACGTATCAGATTTACTGTTCCAGACAGGCTGGCAAATGCCAAAGCTAGCGAAGCATGCAGAATCCACGCGCTCTGTTTTTTTTTTTCGGCAGCCAAAGGATCTAGTCGGCCCGGTACTCACCTTGCAAGACAGGACACAACGGACATCTCAACCATATCCCCCGAACCCGCGAGGTGTTCTGAGCATGTGACTCAACGGCTTTGGCAACAAAGAAGAAGCAGCAAGACGTTGGTAAGATGCCTCCTCGGACGCAGACAGGACAAGCAAAGATTTGACCAAGCGCAGTTGCCACATACACGATTCTAAACGTGTAAGTGAGATACTCGGTCGCTTGGCGTGGCAGGCTTTGGCGCCTCAGCGGTCCGGATGAATGTCAGCCGGCTTGAACATGAAAGACGACAGGACCATCGAAGAACTGAGGGCCTGGTCCATGGGCAGCGCAAGAAGACACGGCACTTGAAGCAAAGCGACAGGCTTACAAACTTACACTGAGGCAAGGGCGGCCTCGGCGGATTTCTGCGCCTATATGGTGACAAAACGCAAGAAAATGTCGGAAAGAGGCAGCATTGCGACTTGAAAATCCCAATGTTGCAGCCAAGTAACTGGTAGAGGAGCAGATGATCGCACGGTCACATCTGCATCACAATCTGCGTCCTGGACGCACAGACAACGGGACGCTGGGATTGAAGAACAGAAACGTAACAAGTAACACACTCCAACTGCCCAAACTGAACTAAGAGCTGAGCAGAAAGGGCAACTCTGGGCAAGTCCGCCTTGGATAGGCCAGCCAGAGCAGGTATTCAACATTTGCTTCAGCGGAGCAGCCTTCCACAAGAAGCACAAGGTTCACGAACCAACGCTGAGAAAACAACGATTGAAGCTCTCTTCGCCTTTGCCGGGGGCAACAGTTGCATGATCGAAAAAGCAACACCCGGTCCAAGCACCACGTAACAAAGCGCAGTGCTGACATTGAAGCAACATGACAGGGATGGAAGCATGCTGAAAGCGCTAGCACGACAACGAAGCACGAGCCGCAAAAGACCCTTGGACCAGGACATCAATGGCTTCCTCGGCTGGAACCTGCTGCACAGCGAGCCAAGACACGCAAAGGAACACTATGCATAAGCTTGAATGCGACTAACAACAAAGGACCGAAGAGCAGGGCAAAGAGAAACAAAAGCAAAGAAATAAATTCTTAGCTTTGGACGTGTATGTCACCTTTGGGGCGAGCTGTAGTTGGCGCCTCGGGTTTCAAGAAGTCTGAAGCACAAATTGCACATTCATCGAATCATGTGGGACAGGATCAAGTAGCAGCATGAAAGTAGCCGCGCAGAGCCAAACCTCTGGCAAGTCATCTTGAGCTGGGACCTGCAAAGCACGCAATAGGCACTCATATGAAGCAATGAGGCGACGTGTGAAGCGCCCGCCTAACGCTGCAGCCACGATCTTGCGGCAGCTTGCATCTCGAAAAGGATTCCAGCGGGAAGACTTGGTAAAGCGAGGTGCAAGTCTGCAAAACTGAGCATGGATAGCTGAGGAACAGTGAGGCGCTGCTGTTGTATAGGGGAATTCCAAAAAGTCTAATGGTGAGAGCGCAGAAATTCAACAAGCGCGGCGTTCTCTTGTGGGAGCGCCAACGGGTCAGGTCGGGTCTGGCAGCGGCCAGAGTGTTGAGTTAAAGCAGGCGGCAGCACAACTTCAACGGGGGGCTGCTCAAACAATGGAACAGGCTGGCTCCGTTTGGGAAAGGTTGGCTGTTGCACGGACAACTGGCCTAAGGCTAGGAAAGCGGCGTGCATGTGCTCACAAGTTGCGTGAAGACAGAACTCATTGCAAAATGCGCAGAAGCCTTGTGTATGATGGTTCTTGCCTCCTGCCGCTGACTCCCTCCGCCAGAACGCGGAAGCAAAAGGGCCCACAGCAACGACGACGTAAGAATCCAGGAGCTTCAACAGTTTTTCCAAATCCAAAAGAGGTTGGGATAAACCAAGGGCAAGGAGAGCTCAAATCAAAGAGTCCTCCGATTTCGCCCGCAGAAGATCAGCAAAAGCTCGGGCAAAACCCGGGGAAGGACTGCGCACCGAATTGTCAGGGGCTTTCGACCAAGCATTGGAATCATGATCATACGTGGCCAAGGTGCCGCGCATGCAAAAGAAGACAGTTCCATCATCGTCGCCACACCGGTCCCATGCTTGCAACCGGAAGTATTGATCAGCAGAAGGCCGCCCTTGCCGGGTCAAACAATCTGAATCCAGCAACACGGTTTTGTCAGGGAACGGTTCGGAAGGCATGTCTGCCAAGCAGGAGCCCTGACCGCGAAGGTCAACAAGACGTGATTTAGTGAAATCTGACAAGGACTTGGCAAAAGTGGACAAACTGGAGCGAAGGCCGAGGTATTTCTTGAGCTTCCAGCGGTGCCACGACTCTTGCGCTTGGGTGCCAGAAGCCGAACCAGGCTGGATCCGTTGCAAGCCGCACCACCACTCAGCTGTGTAGAATTTGTTTGGTTCGCCCGACCAATCCAAGAGACCAAAAGCAGCTTGAGCCTGTTGGCGAGAATGCTTAACAAAATAATGCCGCTGTCCCTATTTCTTTTTTTTGTGATCCTTATTTGTTGTTTTTTGATCCTTATTTGTTTTTTTTGATCCCTCCCGAATTTCATGGGATTTTATAAGGATTTCATGGTTTAGTTTTTTTGGATTTAAAGGAAGTTCAGAGGGTTTTTTTACGGGATTCCAACGAGGTGTAATTGGATGTATAGTAGATATTACCCTCCCGGAATCGTGGCTGGAAAAGCCTCCTTTGTTCGATGATGTTTGCCGAGCTTTTTCAACCTCCAGGATGGTCCCAACTATCTATGTTTGATTATCGCTTGTCAAGGTCATTCTCAGTAGGGATTCTGGAAAAAACCAGATGACTCTAAGCAAATATATCAATTGATCCTGCCGAAATCCTTCAATGCAATGTGTGTATATATATAATATACGAATACGTATATATATATACACTGGATTATTGATACTATCTATATATATATAAGTCGATTAAGGACAATTGATAATGCTGCAGGATAATAATTCTTCATCAATTGATACCTGATCATTATATAATTTGGGGATGGATCAATTACTAGTAACTAGTATTCACCCACTGTCAATGATCAACTATCCTTTATCCAGCCCTAAATTTCAGGAACTGTCAAGTATCCATTAATGTCCAGACGTTTGGGATATATGAATCCGGCTGACGGTTCGGGGTTAAGCCACAAAATGGAACAATCATGTTCACGATATTTCACTACACATTATCAAATACCTATATAATCCTATATAGGTGGTTGTGGGTCAAATAGGGTACCAATAGAATCACAATTGCTGTGGGTCACAAAATGAGTCGCAAGTCGCATCCGTTTCGGATGAGGACTTGACCGATCAGAAGCTTGATCCAATGTCAGATATTGGTGGTCTTGCCTGGTAACCAAACGTGGCAAGATTTCGAACGAAATGGACGGTTTTTCTGGGAAAATCCCGTGTCAATGGATCTTTTGTTGGGAGAATACTCGATTGGGGATAATCCAGCCATTGATGACAGCGGAGGGTATCTCTAAAAATGACCCAAAGTCATCCACAATCAGGGTCTGGAAGTCCAGCCCAAAGTGTATATAGATAACCTATGGGTCAAGTCGAATATTTTTGGGTAACCTATGGAATATTCAAAATTCGAAAGAAAACACCAGGCCGAACTGCGGCTTTTCTGGGGCGCCCAGGCCATCGGGGCGTGTTTGCAGTTGATGATTCGCACACTGACAGCCACCTCCCAGCGGTTGATCTGTCGTGTGGAACACCTCTGTCGATGTGAATCTATGGCGGAAATGATGAGTAGCCTCTGGTAATTTGTTACATAGCTATGGAAAGATCCACCATGCTATTAATGGGTAAATCAACTATACATGGCCATGTTCAATAGCTATGTTTGTTTTTAACATAGCTATGGAAAATCACCATTTTTAATGGGTCAATCAACCATTTCGACTGGGCCATGGCTTCAAGTTCGCAAACTGTTAGTTTACCAGAGGATCAGATTTTTCTAATTTATTCAAATTTAGGGTACCTTACTTTCAAACAAACCCAAATCTGATCATGGTGACTTTAAGCCACAGAAATGGCAGGCATCTGATCATGTCTCAGCAACAAAGATGTTGCAAATGCTGTGCAGGAAACACTCAAGGGTAGCAATTGCCAGTCCGCCATCCCCATTGGTGATTTAGGATTGTTTAGGTGTGTTTTAACATGGGCTATGCTTTTCCTCCCAAGTTGTGACCAATAAAAATGGTGGGGAAATCTCAGTAATTGAAGCATTGGAGGAAGCCTAACACGCTTCCAAAAGAAGTTTGAGAAGGGTTCAAGTCGCCTTTTTTCTGGTTGGGGTCCAACTTAGAGAGCATCCAGTGACCAACTTCTGGCTTCGCAAGGCCTTTTGGTCAACTCCTAGTCTTGAAACTGAAAGTAAAATAGACTCCTTACATCTCATTGCTAACAAAAAAAACAAGTTTCTTTGCAAGGAATGTGTCTATATATTGTCCTAGCTTAAAAAGACTCGATTACTATTGATTCGCATCAGCCATGCAATTTCTCTGGATATCAGGAATTAGATACTAGCGAGGCAAATCTTAGATATGTTGCAAAAGCTATCCCGGATTAGCCATGCAAAGTTTGGCAGGTCACCCCGGCTTTTTGCTCGGCAGAGGACATCCCACAAATGCTCAGCAGGTCTGGGGAAAAAAGGCTGCTGGAAACAGTGCATATAGTGCATACTCATTCAAAGGGGCACTGAAATGCGCGCAGTTTGACCAGGAGGACTGCAACTCTGGAACTGTGACAACTGTGACAACCGGTCTTCAAAAATCTGAATATTTATTAATGGATTGATTTCCAAAAAATATTCATTGGTTTCCAAAAAAAATACTGCATGGTTTTCATCTACAACCGTATGATTTTTTATACAGAGAAAATTATGGGGATTTTTGATATCCCAAAAATCAAGGGACTTTTGAAGGCGAATCCCTTGCGGCCCTTGATGGTTCATATTACATCCATTACAATCATAGCCATCATAGCCATCATTACATCCCAAATCAAGATGGCTATGAATAACATTATCAATTGATCTTTGTCCAACATTCCAGGAAAATATCACATCTTTGGACACTTAACCATGGTTAACCATGGTTCCACTAGTCCCGGTCAAAAATTTCAGCTTCGTCCTCCGGGTCGAAGGTCGCTGTCCAAAGCGTGTCCCTTCGAGCCTAGATCTTTTTTCCGGTAGATGGATGACCCGGTGCAAAACTCGAAGCGTTCGATTTTGGAGTGTGCTGTATGAACTAAGTGTGCCTATGATCTGCCAATTTTCGCTGGTTGGAAATCTCAGTTGTGTCGTTAGCAGCCATGGTGGCTATGGTGGTTCATATCTCCAGAATTCTTGGTGGCGTTTCACCGGGTTTCACCGGGGCATCAACCCGGAGTTTAGGGTACCCGAAGCCGCCAAAGCCTTTCAAACAGTGTAATGTCAACAGATTTATGGTGAAAATTTCAATGATGAAATCAATTCCAACCCCGGATTAATAAACCATAGTTTATTGGTTGGGGGGTACTCCTCCAATAGTCATTTCATCTGATACTTAAATGGTACCCTCCCAATTAAACAGCCGTTTGGGGTTTATTAATCCAGGGTTGACATTACTAGCCTCACTACATCTAATTTACCTTCTTGCAGGGTAACTTCCAGCACACCAAATAAAAAAAAAAACATACTCTCACCCTCCAGTGGTTATATCCAAAGGGATAATGGTCAAGTGGCATATCCAAATGAGATGGTTCTGGTTTCATTCTTTCATAATTCACTCACCTGAAAATAACTGTTATACCATACAGCCACTCGGGGTCCACTCCAGATTTCTACCCATCATTCCGTCGAATTCCGTCACAAAACGTACGGCGTTTACGGTGAGGTCGTTCATCCAGATATATCCAGATATAGAATCAATAGAATCACCATACTGTGGATGGTTGCGAAATCCTGCACCACCAAAAGGATGGTTGAAACCATTGAAACCCGAACTGAATTTCATGGGATGTTTACCACCTATCAATTGGTGCAGGATTTCGCAACCATCCACAGTATGTCTTGGTTGAGTCCTATTTTAAATCCCATGGAAATTCCCCATCGATCGTTGCGACATGGAGAGACATAGCAAATCTGCGGCCCCGGTTTCACCCGAAAATTACGACCCAAATCATCAGCCAAGGACCTCAGTGAATCGTTTCTGTTGATGAAAACTACGTGATATTTTTGGTGACATACAAGTACTTGCTACAGAAAAAAAAATAAACACATATATATATAATATATATATATGTAATATATATATATAATCCACAAGAATCCTCAATGACAGGTCATATCATCTTCAAGCGATTCTAGACCAACGCTCTTGAAACTTCCCCCAAGAGGAAGCAATCCGAGGGGCAATGCAGCATCCGACACCAACCACAACCTGGTTGCTGGTCGACAATGGCTGGGTCCAAGTTCTCTAATTTTCCCGGAGTGCAAAAGGACAAAGAATCTCATCCCCCGAATATAAAGCACCCGGGTGTTTACACCTTTTTGGGACCATTTAAGGGGTGTTTCATATTACCCGCAGATCCTAACGTTCGCCCAACACCTGATAATCTACAAGTTGCCACAGTTTTTGACCTCTCCAGCCATCAATTGCCACCATGAATTCCCACGGGTTGCTGCATGAATAATTTAAAATCACAATGGTATAAATCTGCCACCCCCTAAACCAATAAGTCGCAAGGAAAAAGAATGAGTTTGCTGTGTACAATAACATAAATACAGGGCATAAATCTGCCAACCCCCCTCAAACGTCCGGTTCTGTGCGTCATCTCAGGGGGATGGGATTAATATCAAGTCATGCTGTGTGGTTTGGGTTGGTGGTTTGGGGGGCCTGGAAATTATGACTTTTTGATATTCTTTGTACCAACAAGTGTACCAGAAAAAAAATCTATTTGGCTGGACTTGAATCATTAAAGACCTGGTCCCTGCTGGATTATTGCATGATGTGATTTTGTTTTTTCATCCTCGCTACAGTCCAAAGGCAGTCGGTGGGTGCTGGACGCACATCGTCCTTTCACTTTCAATTAAATTAATGTAAGTTTTTTTAATATAACTTAGATGCTTAATTACTTATGATGAAGTTAAAGTCTCAATTAATGCAATTCACAAATAAGTAAATAGATTTAGATCATTTTAAATCAATACAAAATAACATGTATACCTTGCCTTTTTTGCGATAAAAAAGGGGACAAACGGCATTCGAAGGCCACAATTAATGCACATGTTACAAATGTTTGCTGTTGCAAAGTGTTCTTGTGATATCTTGATTCGGTAGCGTATGTATAGATATTTGTACAATGCATGCGTTTACGAACTGGTTGGGTATATGGTTTAGGTTCATGCCTCCCGGGTCAGGGATGAGGATGGGGCAATGAGGTCGAAGCCAAGTTGCGTCCATCGTTGGTGATGGTCTGGGTCTCTGACTGTTTTCAGTCCCGGATTGTTTGCTGTTAAAGGGCAGAAACTGTATCGAAAACTGTGTGTCCTTATAAGTGACTTGGCCGTCTGAAGTTTTACATATAATTTGATCTGTTCTAAGTTTGCCTGTTTATACCATGTTATAGAATAGATATTGATTGTCTGTATTATGTATTATTTTGTTTCAGTTTGTTGTCTTTAAATGCATGATACACCGGAACCCCCTCACCCCCATGTTTGCTGGTTAAAAACCAACCGACATCCGTTGACATCCGTTGACATCCGTTGTTCCAAACAGGGAGCCGCTTCAAACACTTGGCGCCATCGAAGGAGAAGAGCTGCAACTGGAATTGCCTGCCAGGCGATGTGTCAGAACCCCAATTTGGAAACTGGCTTGATATAGCCGATATATGATGGGCATACGTATGTATACAGTAATTGTAATATGTGTATACGTGTACTTATCATACATATGTATATATATATGTATACTGTATATATACTACATACCTAATGTGTTTAAATATGTGTATATCATTGTATATCTATAGTATATATGATATCGATTCCCGGCGTACCCGGACACATTGGATCTGCCAGCCAGGTGCCCATTGTTCAGCCGGTTGGTCTAGTTTACCATCGATATCATATGTCGTGTAGCCACTGTAGCGGCCTCAAATCTATCAAACCAAGACATAGGAAATCTACCCTAAACCAACATAACTATGGAAAATCACCATTTTCAATGGGCAAATCAACCATAAATAGCCATTTTCAACAGCAAACTGTTAGTTTACCAGAGGGTAATGAAACCCAAGGTTCGTAGCCTCCAATCACCCACGGAAAAAATCCGCCAATAGAAAATCTCCCATGGCCCATACCATTTCTCCTGTGGCAGGAAGAAACACGAAAAACCAGTGCTAAACGCTCTTAAAAAAATCACCATCCCAAAAAAAAACACCATTCTGAAGTGGGATTGAAACCATCCCCCAAAATTAGGTAGGTTTAAATCTATATACCCTCTGGTAATTTAACATAGCTATTGAAAATGGCCATTTATAGTGAATTTTCCCATTGAAAATTGTGATTTTCAATAGCTATTATGTTAAGAGGGTATATCTATCATTATTCATCCAGGACTTGTTGGTCAACAAATCCCCCATGACGATCAGCCTTGCTTAGTCACTAAGTACGATAAAAACCATAGATGAATGATCAGCAAAACCACAATGAAAACCAGCATGAAAATTTTGTTTAATATTGGTTCAATTACAAAGCACCAAGGTCGTCTAACATTTTCTAACCACCATTAATCACTATTGTTAACCACTATTAACCAAGATTAATGATTATCAACCATGAAAAAAAAAACTTCAAAACACCAAACCACCAAAGTTTGGGTTGCCTTTGGCGGCTTCGAGTTTGGTCTTCAGCACATCCACGCGCTTCTGCGCCACTAGGGAAGCCTTCGCAGAATCCAATCCTCAGTGGAAACTTGGCGAAAAAAAATCAACCGTCTCAAGTCATGAAAAATGGAGGTCATCCTACCGGGTTAGACATAATCTTATATAGCCTATGGATAATGGTTATCTTTATAAAGATTATATATAAATCATCCAGGGGTCTCCAGGGATAATCTTTATATATCCCAAGTCTTATATAAGACTTATATCATCTTATATCACTATAGACCTTTAAACACCGACCAAATCATCCAAGTCTCCAAGTCCCATGAAGACCTTGGACGCAAAGCTCTCTGGATCCCTCGGCGACGTGATCAGCATCTGAGGCGTCTCGCTGTGGCGTCGAAGCGATGTCCGCTCCGCACCAAAGCGGCCGCCGTCGTCGCCGTCGCCCAGGCTGCCGGTGCTGCCACGGCGCGCGAGCTCTGCGAAGTCGGAGCTCAAGGACGCCGTGCTGCTGTCGCCGCTGAGCTGAAGTTTGCCTTGTGCCGCAACGCCCACGTGTTGTGAGTTGTGATCTGAAAAACATGGAGTGAATGGCAGCCAAATTACACGTTATAACACGTTATAACCACTTATGAATGGAAACCGTACCTCAACCCATTGATGACATGTATAATCTTCCCCAATGTTTGATATCTATGACTGAGGGGTTGCCATCCCCCTGCGTAGACACACCTTCTATCACATAAACAACTTAAATGATGGAGGATTTAACATTATTGAACCATCAAACATATTCAAAAAGTGCGATGAAATGTGTCCTTGGCAAAAATGGAGGTGTGACATGGTTTTGGGACTGGAAAATTTGCACCAAGGGGCCCAACACGAACAAACCTGAGCACAAAGTGGCTGGTAACACGTAAACTCCCCGAACAGGTTGGAGAGCTCTATCAACGCTTCCCAACCAGTGTCTACTCTCGTCGAATTTTGGGCAAGTCAGATCTTCACAGACCTAAACTCAGCTAATACGACATAGCTATGGACAATGGCCCCTTTTCGACAATTTACCCCGCACCATGGCGATTTTCCGTAGCTGCCCGTCTGTTTGACTGACCAAGTGGCTAGGAGACGGGCAGCTGTTGGCGCGATTGATCTTCAGCGTTGGAATTTGAGGATTCCTTGGTGACTTAGGCACCAAATCACTATGGGATACCCTCTGGTAAACGCTCACAAAAAACTATGGAAAAACACCATGCTATTAATGGGTAAATCCACGAACTAAATGAATATAAATCACCATTTTCAATAGCAAACTGAGAATGTTTACCAGAGGGTACCCTCTTGTAAACATTCTCAGTTTGCGAACTGGGAAATCACCATTTTTCGGTAAATCAACGAACTAAATAAGTCATGTGAAAAATATCTATGTTAGTTTACTGGATGGTATACGAGTAAAATCCTCACGTCACTTGGAAAACGAACAAGCGTCACGGGTCGCCACGGGAACATCCCGTGCCGAAAAGGGTCAAGCCATTGGGTTTGTTTCCCCGCAGGTCGAAGCCATTCCTAACTCATGGCCCCATCAGTTTGATCGATCATACCATGGCCCCATAGGATGAAACAGATGCAATACCATGTAATACCCACTGTCTCACATTGATGTTTCTTTTTCGCACTGTCTTTGCTTTTTATATGATTTTATTCTTCCATGATCTTTCATGTTTCTATCACCTAAGCACATGACTAGGCCATTTCAAGTAGTCATGGCATGTCATGGCCCATGAAATTCCACCAGCCCATGGCGTCGGAATGGCATGGCGCTTCGGCATCTCAGCTTGCAACGAGCTCTCAGAGCTCTCGCGTGGAATCGTCAGGGGCGCCACCGGGGGTGGTGCCAGCGCAGGGGCCTTGAAGGACGGCACGGGGAGCCTGGCGTTTTTTCAGGTACCCACTGGGAAAAGCAACAAAAAACCAGGAGAAAATCCATAGGAAACCATATATAGGGGAAAAAAAAAATGTGCATAGGAAAATGTTAAACAAGGGTTCCTGGTACTGAGAAAATCATAGGAACATATTTAAAAAAATATTGGAAATCCCATGAGTTAAATAGAGGTTTTAACGGCAAAATCCATGGGAAACATGTGGGAAAAGCCCCGAAGCGTTTTAGGTAAATCATCGAACTACAGTTCCGCTGAAAAAACGGTTTTTCCAGCTTGCTGTTTGGTGCGAATTGATGATAAATGGAGCACTGTTCTGAATGATTCTATTTAAGCTCCTCCAGCTGGTGCACTAGAAGGGAGTTTCATCCCTAGCAAACGGCTGCGGCTGGCGAGATGACGGTGGCTTGTCCAAGGGGTTTATGTCTGATGGCCATAAATGGATTAGATATGCTTCGATTGGATTAGACATTCAGATTTTGATTGGATTAGATCAGAAAGATATAGTAAACATTTAGATTTGTTTGGTATATGATATAGATCTGATATACCAAACAAATCATATATCTTGGAACAATCTAATTATGTTTTGGCAACAATCTAATCATATATGATTTGTTTGGTATAAACATTGTTAATTATGGATAGATGGATTCAAGGGAAAAAATGGTAAAACAGGGATGCTGGGACATCCCAGCTTTCATTGTTGGTTGTTATGGTTTTTATGTTATTGTTCAATGTTTTTTCCTTATCTTTGATGTTTTATGTGGTGGGGGTTTTGGGACAATTTTACCCCGAACTTTCGCTGTTGATGTTTGGATTGAATGGGGGTAGGATTTGTTTAGACTGTTGGGGTTTTGTGTTTGTGTTTGGGCGGGTGATTACTTCATAATATATTTTATTAAGATATTACGAACTAATCGTTGGGTTTAGTGTCTCCACTTTTCATCACCACTACCTATGCCATCCCAACATTGAGAAACAATCGTTTTGATGTTGTAGAACACTAAAATGATTGTGTCTCTATCAAGTCCTCGTTGGTCAATCAAGTATCCCAACACTGACAATAGTGTATAATAGTTTGGTTGTAATGCTGTGTTTCCTCTTCTGTGATGTATCCTCTCACCGTGTTTTTTGATTAAATCTTTATCAAATATGTTTTCATAAATTTCTTTCATAAGGTCGTGGTTTATCTCTCCATACTCTGCGTATTGCTCTAAAGATTGTTTTTGCTTTAGTATTAGGTCATATTCTATAAATCTATAATCAGGATAAGGATTTTCTTTTATGAAATGCATTAACCTTTCTCTATCTCTTTTCAGTTCCTCTTCACTAACTCCAAGCATTGGCATTTTTCTCTTACTATATATAGATGTTTTTTCTTTAAGTATTTATCACTTTTTGTAGGTGTTTTTTTTATTTCTTCTGTGTTCAAATATTTCTCATAACCGTTGAACAGTTCTTCAACATATTCACGCAAAAAGATTTCCAAAATGTCATTTACCTTGAATTCCCTGTTTCTAAATGTATAAGTCCAATCATTTTGAGGAAACCACCACTCCCGCTTGTTCTTACAATACTTCATTTGCGTAAGGTCGTGAAAGTTTTTAAGGAAGTGATAGGTAGTTTTCCACTCCCTTTTCACAAAAGACTTAATCGCCATTAAGAACAGTTTGTCGTGTTTGAATTCTTGCTTGAGTTTGAATGTATCCATTAAAACATCAATTTCTCTTTTCATTTGCCGAGTGTTTGTTCGGTTCGTGTTGGATAAATAAATAGGTGATTTCTCCATCCTTGTTTTAGAGAAATAGATTGTCTTTTCTACTCTCGTCAGTTTTTTATCATTAAAATAGTCAAAATGATAATTGAAATCTATGTATCTACGCTCCCTATCGTTTAAGCCTTTACATTTTGAACAGTGAAGGTTGTAATCACATATCTCATCACAAATTCCAGCAGGAAAAATGTTGTTCAATAAAACCTTAATGTCAGTCATTTCTTTCTTACAACATCCACAGTTTTTACAAGTAAATAGCATCCTCTTACTATATATATAGGTAATTTTTCTTTAAGTAGTTTTTGGGGGTTCGTTCAGTTTTCGGGTTCGGGTTGGTTTGTGTTTTCCCTTTCCTCCTCTTCCAGTTCCTTTATAACCATATCAATTTCACTCTTCCTTCATTGGGGTCTTGTTCATTGGCGAGGTTTCTTAACCTCTCAAAATCCTTCACTTTGTGTCTTTCATTGGGTGGGAGGGTTTTGAGATGTTCCTTCAACTCTGTCAGGTCAAAGTATGCGTCGTGTTCTTCATCCTCATTTTCCATAAACATTTCCATTCGTTGTTTTTCCATTTCCATAAGTTTGTTTTCCATATATTGGAATTTTATTTGCTTCCTGTAGCGCTTGCCACACACATTCACAAAGGTTTTGAGCAAGTAGTTCCAATTAGGTTGGTTTCTTCCGTTCAGGGTTATAACATCTGTCATAATACGACATCCACAGTCAAATTTAGTCATCTTATTTAGTCTTACTATATATAGGCATTTTTTCTTTAAGTATATTGTTTATTGCTGATAATTTTAAAAATCTAATATTATGATATATGGCAAGGAGACTATCACGAGATGACATCATAAGCAATGTCTATTACAATCTTGAAACGGGCTTCGGTTCAATCAATGAGACCCTTAAGAAAGCCAAGGAACAAGACCAGACCATCAACAGGGGATGTGGAAAACTTTATGAGGAAACAGCCCAACAAACAGATTAGAAAATACAGGGGTTCAAACTCCTACACCGCATCCTTCGCAAGGTTTGAATATCAAATTGACATAATGGATATGAAACCCCTTACCAAAGAACCAGAGACGAAAATTCCCATCAAGAACGGTGAGCCGAGATGCGGGTTGGTGGTCATTGACATCTTCAGCAAGTTGGCAAACGTCGTCCCTATGAAAGAAAAATCTGGACCAATCACATTGTCGGCGATGAAAGAGAGTTTCAACAAAATGGGTTTTCCGATGTCCGTTTATAGCGATAATGACCGTGCCTTCCAAGCAGGGGTAAAAGACTTTTTTGAGAAAGAAGGCATCACTCACGTCGTCACCCTAACACACGCTAATGTTGTGGAGCGTTTCATAAGGACAATGAAAAATATGATACACGATAGAGTTAGGTTTAATCGCGGTAGTTGGACTGTGATGTTGTCCAAAACGTTAGATAAATACAACGACACCGTCCATTCATCAACCAAAATGAAACCCAAGGATGCCCACGACGACAAGAACCATATGGACGTCAGGGTGAATTTGACAAGGAGGGAAAAGAACACTCGCAAATATCCAGAAGTCAAAGTGAATGATATGGTCAAGGTCTTTGAGAAGAAAAAAGACAACTACACCGAGAGGAAGGAGTATAACTCAAAGTGGAGCAATCAATCCTACAAAATCGTCAAGATAGAATACGATGATGTCGGAAACAGAACCTTCAAACTGGAAGGATTGAACAAACCGTATTTGAGGCACGAGATTTTGAAAGTATAAAAAAATATCTATAATATTAATATATGACAGAGGTAGTCGTAAAAGAGATTGATAATGAAGAACACAAGGAAGAACCAATACCAGAACCAATACAGGAAGAAGCACCGAAAGAAGAGGAGAAACCAGAAGAAATAATTGAACCATCCGTTGAAGAGAAACCGCAACCAGCACCAAAGCCCAAAAGGGTAAGACCGTCAAGGGCGAAACCACCTTTTGACCCAGAAGCATTCAAAAGCGACCTTGTAAAACAAATAAAGGAAGAACTACAAAGTGCGATGTCCGCCAGAGACACCTACAACAAAGCCAAAGAGGAAAAGAACAAAGCGACGAGAGAGAAATTGAAATCTTTAGCATCAAAAAAATTATAAAGTATTATATATATAAATGAACATCAAGGAACAGAAAATAGAACTCAACAAAACAGACATCTACGAAAACGTCCGCAAGGACATCAACAGAAGACAAACTGTCCATTCAAACAAAAGTGCCAACTACAGGAGCGGAACGCCCGAAATGCCAGACAGAAGAAAAAAAGTGTATAGTAGTTATGACCACTACTACCACAACGACAGCAACACGGCAAGGATGCCAACTCACAACCATCATCTTTACCTAAAGCGTCTTCACAACACCGAGCACGATTACAAGGTCTTACAAGTAAAGCAGAGGATGAAGGAAGAGAATGAGATGCTACAGAACGAAATGACAAGGTTGAGGGAGGTGAGGAAAAATTACAGATTGGAAGATTACGGGGCGAACGTCCAGAATATGAAACAGAGAATTGATGAGTATAAACAGTGGTTGAGAGGCGATACACAAGATTAATATAAAAATCTAAATTAATATATAGCAATGACAGCAGAAGTAATCAACGCAAAACAGGGATTGACACGAATACCCACTTACGCAGAACTCATCAAGGAAATAGACAGGGAAAAGTTCAAAACCAATGACATCAGAAAAATCTTTGATAGGAACGCTTGGTATTTTCACGAAAGTCCGCAGGGTCAAGCACTGAACACAAACAACATCCACCCAGCAGACTTACAGCAAATGAACTTCAAAAAGATGGCAGAGGAAGCGACCGCAAGGAAGGAAGAAGAAACACCCAACCTTGACTTTGAAGATATGACCGACTTGAGGGCCGACGCCATCAGCGACTTTGAGATGTCCTTTGACAGAGAGGCAGAGTTGAGGGAAGAGAACGAAAGGAGAGTAGCAGAACAAGCAAACTTAAGTCATTCACAAGACCACTATATGGCAAACAAAGGGGCATACGACGCCGTCGGAGCAACAGCATCGGCAGGGATACAACAGGACGAAGAACCGCCTTCAAGCAGTAGAAGCATCTTAAAGAAATTCCTTAAATCATCCAAAACAGTCATCAAAGCAGTCGCCACAGGAGGAGGAACAGCAAAGGGGTGGTCAATAGGAGGACTAATAGCATCAAAAC